TTTCACTGACGTGAAGAAAGTTCGAAAGGGAAGAAAAGATCCTCATTTCGATACACAGAATTCATTGCATCCTTAGTATTCCAAAAAAAGTTTTCCCTCGGCAGGGACAGGTCAGTTAGGGGAGAGACAGTCTGCTCATGAGGTGCACCATCAAAGAACTTGACTTCGCACAGGATGACGAAGCACAAGATCCTTCTTCTTCCCTCAAGCGGTAGCCCCGCGCCCACGCAGGGCCTTGTTAGGCATCGCCCCTTGTTGCAATCTATGAAGACGGAATTCCGTGAGAAAATGTCAGGGAGTCTGTCCGGCAGCGACTGACAATTTGAAGAATTAAGTGGGATGCGAAGCTGATAGCACTGCAAAAGCCATAGTGAAGAAATGCAAGAAGCCCTGCGCCGGTAAGCAAATTCTAGTGGCTATTTGGGGATTTTCAAAAAATGAGCTATGTTAAGGAGAAGAAAGAACAGTGCAGAAGCTCTAAAGAAGCAAGCAACTCAAAGGGTAGAGGAAACATGGTAGAGAAGTGTTTAAAAACAGCATACCTTCTTTGTACTGGCACGGCTACTAGACGACGTAAACGATGAAATCGACGTCGATGCGTAGTCGAACAAGTCATAGGCCAACTAAAACGAAAGGCCGAAGATAGGTGAATAGGCAAAGCTTTTTTAATAGTCAGACTTTGCGACAGCTTTCATTATTACAGAAAGAAAAAACTGATGAATGAACTGATCTGAGAGCTGTGACAAAACCTAAGGTGAGTGAAAGGGAGTTGGGGAACGAAAAGAAATGCACACCAATGCACCTAGCAATTGCACAGCAAGACATCTCTACAACGGATACAACGTGTCTCTTTGGTAAAACCTATGAAATTCTACCGATTACAGCTCACTATAACAGCATAAGAGCGGCTCTGCGTCAGTGTTCTGAGCGTACGACATTTTAAGCGTTCTGAGCATTTACGGCTGAATAAGTATCGATCCCTTGTACGCGAGCGTTCTGCATGCGGTACGCTGTTGAACTTTTTCACAGGCAAGTCGCTCAAAACCTGGCGAAACGCCTGCGGCAACGCGTCGAAACGACCCGAGCGTACAAATGCCTGTAGCAAAGTATTGAACCGTTAGCAGCCCGAAAGTTAGGGCCACACTCACCGTTTTTAGTCCGCTCTTTTCACGACACATGGGCAAAATATACTGCGTCAATACACAACCCAAATCCCAAACATCATCGTCACTCAGAGCAGGTTCGAGGCGTCTGGAAATAGGTGCGATATGTCCGTGAGATTCATGGTAGCAGCAGTAGCATAGAAGCAAGATAATCCCATGACTCACACAAGAGCCGCAGTAGCTTTTGCCGCCAGTAGCCGGAGAGAGCTAGACAGCATTTCAGGTGTCTCGCTTTGCACGTAATCCTGAAATCCAGAACAACATTAGCAAAATATGGGTACGGTCTAGCAAAAATTTGAAAAAGAGCGAATTAAGTGAAATGACGTTATTCGCTTTTGGGTTCAGCACAAGGAAAAGAGACATAAACTAAAAAAAAAAATTGAAATAAATCTTCATTGCGAGCAGAAAGGAAAAAGTATTTCTAAATAAGGGTAGTTAATTCAATTAGGTTCTCGCTCACCTTGATATATCCAATCAATTCATTTCGAGCATCAAATCTGTAGTCTCCAGGTAGTCTTGATGGATGTATGGAAATGGCTATTAGCCGCATGGTTTCAAGCATCGCCTCACGAACAACAGTTTCTTGCTGAAATGGGAGCAATAAGGATACTGTTAGGAATGTTGTGCTATGCAGTCATCTAATCTCCGAATCAAGGATATCGAGGCGAGGGTGCCGTAGTGGCAAGGGTTCTGCTTACCACGTGTGCGCCCCTTGGATCCAATACCTGACTGACTCCCGGCCAGAGAAACCAAGACTTCCGACTTGTCTGGGAGGATAAAAATACTGATGTGTAGGTCACAACGCATTCAATAGGACATTGTTATTCTAGCAGACGGCGTGCCGCACCCCAAAAAGGGGCGATTAGCGGCCAAGACTTCATCCTTTTTCTCCAAATGCTGGACACTATTCGTAAATTTCATTTCGGAAAAAAACACAGGTCATAACAAGACCCTCTATGCACTGCGCCACGCAGACGCGGCAGTGCGAACAAACCAGCGGTGCCTTGCAGTAGCTTCGCGCTTATCACTCTGTGACAATACTATATCCAACTTTTGTTTCTCCATCTGCCGGCTCCATTACTTCATTAGCAATCCCATATTGTCATAGCTTAGCTAAAAGCGGAGGTAACTCAGTAGCAAGCAAACAGAACTCCTAGCAGAGGCATGAAAATGATTCCTCTCAAAGTAAGCAACACATCTGAAATCATTAAAAACTCATAGATTATCCAAAAAGTACCTTGCTATTCGCGAAATAATGCCTCAAGAATGTGATGATTGTCTGTTGAAGTCGCTGTGTGAGCGTATCGAGTGGACAGGCTTGCACGACATATCCATAACTCAGCATAAGACTAGCTCGTAATAAGACCATTTCCGTGTCGGTGTACTGACGAATTGGCATCGCGTCCTGAAGAAATTTCAAATATTTACCAAATATTCCGCTATTCTTCCAGTTCGAACAGTAGAAATATTCCACCTTGATGAATCCGAAGAATCCCGAGCTCTTCTTTGCATGCTCCCATTTGGAGACGTTCTCCAGCTCTACTAGAACCAAGTCCATATGTGATGAAGCGCACGCTCCTACACCACGTGCACATCCCTGCCGTTCAGTTGGGATATTATGCTGGGTAGATCTAAAAACAATATTCAACCGTATAAGCCGCAAATCAAGAAAAAATAGGCAGCAACTTGGCTAAAAGTAGGTCACTCACTTGAACATCAGCATGAGGTGATCGACAACAAATTGCTTCAGTGCAATTTTAGACAATGCTGTGCCAAGGCATCGCAGAAGAAACGCCTAAAGAACACCAATCTTAGGACTTCTTGAAGACAGCTCAACTGTGGGCCGTGGCGCCTCAAAAGAGGAAGTAGAGGAAAAGTGGAAGAGTTGCTTGTCCTTGCCGAGAAAAAAGCAAAAAAAAACTGCTCAGTACTCTCAGAACAGGATACTCATTTTCTCAGAAGATTTCGGGAAATGCAAAAGAAAAACACGTAGGAAAAAAGCTAAACAGCTGGAGTCTCACTTTTTTTACATCAGACGTATACCTCGGGCAGCGTTCATACTTCGCGATGACGCCCTTGACGCGCGTGGTCGCCTTACCATTGCAACCGCGCTAATGCTATATATGAGAATGTAGCCACAGACAGGAACCGATCGGCGCTAGTATCTTGAGAGAGTATGGGAGAAAAGGACGGTACAAGATCGCCAGACTGTGA